AGAGGGAAGGGAAAGATACAAGAAACAGGCTTCAAATTTATACACCAGTGCTGAGAGGGGAGCTCAAGAGGGCAACAGAGGCAGCCCCCCAGGAGCCACAGCTCCGGCACGTGGGGCCTGGGAGGGGACACCCCTGAGGCCACCATGGAGACCAGGATGAATGAATTTTGGCAACTGAACTGAAAAATTTATAAGCCTTAGTACTGTGAGTCTATTTATTGCTGGTTTTCTTCTTCTTCCATGGAAGAAAGGTTGGCAGCTGGGAAGGAAGCCTATAAACCTTAACATGAGAGATGGGAAAGGTGTTTTTACACACAAATACACAGGGGCTGGACAAGAAATTGGGTTTTTTTAGAGACAAAGGGCAACGTGTGACAGATTTGGTTTGAGGATTTTCAGTCCCTGAAAAAACAGGAAAAAAAAATCTGCAGTGCACATGCCCTCCATTCTTTTAATGCCAGGTGTTACGTACATAAAAAAACCCTTGTAGGTGTTTGAACAAGAAACAAACCCACTGCTTCCTTTAAACAAAAAAAAAGGATTGCAGATGATTGCCAGAAAGAAGACAAAACGAAAGCAAGCCTGTGTACCTCTCTGGAAGGGGAGATAATCTCTGAGTTTTTCTGGGATGAGAAGAGTTTGGGAAGCACCTCCCCTACGGAGGAGGCCTCTGACCAGAACTGTTGCCTGCCACCCTCTGCTGTGGTTGGCACTCTGGGAAATGCAGAGTCCCCATGGGGAGAGAGCCCCAGGAACCCCGGGTGGCACAGGGCTGCTGAAGGGGTGTGGGGGGCAGCACGTGGCAGTGATCAAGACTCCTGGCATCACTTGGAAGCAGCCTGAGTTCAGAGCTCCAACGTGCGTGGGAGAGCACAAGGAGTGGCAGCAGAGGCTTAGCCAGGGGAAAGCTGTAGGAGAAGTTACTTGCAGCGATTTCCTGCTCTCCCTGGGTGAGAGGAATGCAGCTGCCTCATGAGGGGCACTCCTTGGGCTGCCCCACTGAAGCCTGCTGCTCCCCTGGCTGAGGGGCACCCCGCAGGCCCTGCCTGAGGCTGGGGGCTTTTTCACTCGGAGCTTGTGGCTGGAGCTGGGGGCTCTTAGAATCTCTCCTGTGTCCCTGGGCTTGGGCTGGAGCTGGTAAGCAGCAGGCTCCAGAAGGAACGTGGACAGTCCTGTGTGAAATGAGCCACTGGGGAGGCTCATCAGCCCTCTGGCAATAGCAGGGGACAACTAGATGCTCTCGAGGGGAAGAGGGGCTGGTGGCAGCTGCAGAAATGTTGCTCCTACCTTGGCAAGCACAAGGGAAACTCCCTCCTGCTTTCTGAGTACAATCCCTGCTTTGATTGGTTGTGTGACTCCAGTTCCAGTGAAATGCACCCATCTTCACAGCCCACCCCACACCAGAAGACCCTCTTGTTAGGTCACATCTTTGGACTCTGCTTTAGAATCCTATTTTGTCCAATTCCAGGTCTTTTACATGTTTACTATGAGGCAACCACTAAGAAAGGAGCAGAAATGCCTCCATCAGAAGCTACCCAACTCTTTTCAGTCCTGCACAGATACAAGTCATTCCTTAAGGAGAAAGGTAGAGAAAAGAGGACACCAGAGAGAAATTTAATTCAGGAGTGTGCAAATGCCACCCTTGGGGGCCAGAGCAGGATTGTCCCTCTCAGATCCCACACCTCTTCAGGCACTCACATGCTGCTCAGAGCCTTGTCCTTCTCTTCAGCCTCAGGGTTGTGTTTATGCCTGGAGAACTGAGAATCCCTTGTTTCAGCAAGAATCCTTGCTGAGGACCTTCCAGCCAGCTCACAACTGTTTGAAGACTTCCACGTTTGTAGATTTTACACTGCTCTGGTGCACGATGTCACTCAGGGACCCTGGCTGCTAACAGAGGTTTACTGGGTGTAACAGAAGGCCATGGCTAGAGCCAAGAGTCTCAGAGGCAGACCATGGATGATTGAGGATATGTTCTCCATTCAGGGCATGGACCACGTCTGGGTAAGCTTATCACTAAGGCAATGCCTCTGCCCTTTCCAGAAGGAAAAAACACCTCGTGGGCAGAATTACAGCAGCTCCCGAGCTCCTCATGGTCACACAGCATGAGGAACGTCACCAGCCCCTTCCTGGGGGCCTGGCCTCAGGCCACAGGGAGGTCACAGCTCTGCCCCTGCCACAGTGAACGTTGGTTCCACACAAAACATCTCGTGGTGCTGGGGATTGCCCTGGGTGAACACTGCAGCCCCCAACAAGTCCGAGTGCTCCTCTGAATTCCAGTTCCAACAGCAAACCTTTACCTCTGGAGATGAGCTGGGAGCCTGAGCAAGGAGCAGGAGCAGGTTTCTTGCTCTCTGAAGGCCTGACAGCGTTTTTTTGTGGAATTTTTTTTTTTAGATCAAGTTTATAAGCATCAACTGCCCCCTCCTACCCCCCGAGACCAACCCCACGAAGGAACTGAGGATGGACAGGGGCAGCAGCTGCAGCATGTACCATCCTCATGCTGCCTCCAACTTCCACTCAGGGCAGGGACGGGAGCAGCAAGCACAGCCCCTGCACAGCAGTGGAAGGTGTGGGACAAGACATCCAGCTGTGTGCTGCTGAGGAATGGAAAGTTATCCCTGAAAATGGCAGGCACACAGCCCAGCGCGTTTCCGAGGAGAACAC